ATCGTACAGTAAATCTCATGATAGTAACTTTGGTATGTGATACAGCAATAACAGTAATTCAACAGCAATCAATTCATTAAACCACAGTCGGCTTGTGAATAAATGAAACCACTTGTTTCTACTATACAGTATTTTTAAAGTTGCATGTAGTTTAAACACTTTACGTTAACAATATTGCTAGAATACCATACTCTTACATAATAATTTTTGTGTATAGCCATCCATCTTTGCCTATGTTTATCATCTGAATATAATCTAGCTTCAAAATCATGTTGACTTTTCACTCTTGAATTGAATTTGCAAATTAAGATCCATGGATCTGCTGTTGCTGGGTATATGTTTTCATTGTTTGTTAATTGCTTTTTAAGTGTTTCTTGTATTTTCATTATTTATTAATGTAAATATTTGTATTTTTTTTTAACTTGATGAATAAATACATTTAAATAATTATTACATCTTGCTATAAAACCAATTTCTTTTATTAATTACACTGTTTTACTGTTTCTTCAAGGTCTAAACGAGTGAAAATGTAAAATGAGTGAATCTGTTTCTCCATCCTTTGAAATTGTGTACCAAACTAAACATGCACTGTTGTATGAAGAATGTCCTAAAATAACCCACAGCGAACTCAAATCCAGTTCTCAGCTCCAACGTCTTGGCAACTTCTTGACAACTTTTCGTGTAGGATTTTCATCAAAACGTAATGTTCCATCATTTGATGAAGTGAGTTTATCTGTAATGTGTTTTTTAAGGATGTGCTTTTTAATTTCAATATGTAATCGTATCAATCAGCCCTTCAATGGTTCATTTTTAAAAGTTGTATGAGAAAACTCTTTTAAGCGGGAATTGAACCTGCAACCTATCGCCATCAAGACAAATGTCATACCAAAGACTAGAAGCCCCTGCAGGCACTTTCTTTCATACTGACTGACACGCCCAGACAGTGGAGCTAGTTGAGCTTGAAAATCTTATAGGTCGCTTGGAAATCATTGTTAAGCAAGGTAATTCAACAGAAGGATAATAGCTCTATGGGGCAACTACAATCCGATACTAGTTGCGAGTACAGCCGTCAATTATTAGTCTATGTGTGCCATACGTTTTATGGTGTTAGTTACTATTTTATTTATTTTGGGTACTTCGCAATGTCTGTTACATCTGATTTCTTTTGACTGCGAGCTTGTTAAATGCTTCTATAAACTGCAATTTGATTTGTGAAAATTGACCAAGAAAATGAAAAGTTACAGCAATTGAAAATTTTATAAAATTTCATGTTCTTATGTAACATTAAACTGTCATTTTGACAATGTTGGACTAAGGTGCACCAAACGAACATTTGAGTAGATACAGAACATTAATTATTTTTTCCCTCGACGGGGCCCTGTCCCCCGGCCACCGACTGGTGCCAACCCAGATCATAAATATACCGTATAGGTCCCCATGAATAATGGCATAATGTTTGCCTTGGTAGCGAGAAGTTTCATGTTCAAAACCCGCCAGAGACACTTTTTTTAATACAATTGAAAAAAGGAATTTGTCGTTGAAGTGGTATGCTTGAAATAATTAAAACATCTTGTTCCTATCGGAGCACTGTTATTATATTGTTTATCTTGTTTGGATGCAAAAAATAATGTCTGGAGATTTTTGTGTGACCCGAAAAAAATTCTAGACCTACCTTTTCAGGACCCGTGAGCTGAAAACCTTGAATTTTGAAGAACTTAAAAAGTCATTTAAAACACATTTCAGAAGTCAGGGAAGGTCATTTCCCGCATTCTAGAAATCGAAATTTTTCTTAGGGGTTCATTGGTTCTATTGAATCATTTTCAAGAGTGGGGAAACCTTGATTTTTGAAGAAATTAGAAGTAATTAAAAGACATCTCATAAGTCGGGAAAGCTCATTTCCCGCTTCTAGGAATCAAAATTTTCCCGGGGGAGAACCCCCCGACCCCCTTTCTTTTTGGGATTTTGGGAAAACATTACCTGACCGTTTTCAAGAGAGGAAACCTTGAATTTTGAAGAACTTATATTAAAATCGCGATAAGATACTTCAGAAGTCGGGAAAGCTCATTTCCCACCATTTAGAAATTAACATTTTCCCGGGAAGAACCCGAACCTCCATTTTCTCTTTGGGTTCATTGATTCATTATAATAATTTTCAAGAGGGGAAAACCTTGAATTTTGAAGAACTTAAAAGTAGTTAAAAGACACCTCAGAAGTCGGAAAATTTCCCGCCTTCTAGGAATCAAAATTATCCCTGTGGAGAACCCCTGGACCCCCCCCCCTTTTTTTTGGGGGGGGGGGATTTATGGGTTCATGGGGAAAAATCGTATGCAAATACTCATTTTTTAAATGTATATATACACACATAAGGCCTGTCTACTGTAATAACAATGGGATAAATTTACCTGACCGTTTTCAAGAGTGGAAAGCCTTGAATTTTAAAGAACTTAAAGGTAATTAAGACAACTTAGAAGTCGGGAAAATTGATTTCCCGCCTTCTATGAATCAAAATTTTCCCGGGGGAGAACCCCGACCCCCTATCTTTTTGGGAGTTATCGATGATTCCTGAAAATAAAATCGTATCCAACTGCTCATTTTTTATGTATTTACACACACATAAGGCCTATTTACTGTAATAACAAGTGGAAAAATTTACCTGACCGTTTTCAAGAGAGGAAACCTTGAATTTTAAAGAACTTAAAAGTAATTGAAAGACACCTCAGAAGTTGGGAAAACTCATTTCCCGCCTTCTAGGAATCAAAATTTTCACGGGGGAGAACCCGGACCCCCTTTCTTTTTGTGATTTATGGATTAATGGAAAAAAAAATCGTATGCAACTACTCAATTTTTTTTATGTATGTATACACACATAAGGCCTATTTACTGTAATGAAATGGATAAATTTACCTGACTGTTCTCAAACCGGGGGAAAACCTTGAATTTTAAAGAAATTAAAAGTAATTAAAAGACACCTCAGAAGTCGGGAAAACTCATTTCCCGCCTTCTAGATATCAACATTTTCCCGGGGGAGGGCCCCCGACACCCCTTTCTTTTTGTTATTTATAAAATCATGGAAAATTCGTATGCAACTACTCAATTTTTTTATGTATGTATACACACATAAGGCCTATCTACTGTAATAACAAGGGGATAAATTTACCTGACCGTTTTCAAGAGGGGAAAACCTTGAATTTTAAAGAACTTAAGAGTCATTAAAAGACACCTCATAAGTCGGGAAAATTCATTTCCCGCCTTCTAGATATCAAAATTTTCCCGGGGGAGGACCCCCTTTTTCTTTTGAGCTTATCGATTCATTAAAAAAAAAGAATACATATGCAACTACTAATTTTTTTATTTTTATGTAGGCACAGTAGGTACACACATAAGGCCTATTTCCTGTAATAACAATGGGGAAAAATTACCTGACCGTTTTCAAGAGGGGAAAACCTTGAAATTTGAAGAACTTAAAAGTAATTAAGACACCTCAGAAGTCTGAAAAACTCATTTCCTGCAATCTAGGATTCAAAATTGTTCCTGGGGAGAACCCCGGAACCCCCGCTCCTTTTCTTTGGAGCTTATCGATTCATTGAAAAAAGAATACGTATGCAACAACTAATTTTTTTTTTATGTATGTATACACAAATAACAGGCCTATTTACTGTAATAAGAATGAGAAAGTTTACCTGACCGTTTTCAAGAGGGGGAAACCTTGAATTTTGAAGAACAAAGTCATTAGAAACCTAGCTCAAAAATCAAGAAAGGTCATTTCCCGCCATCTAGAAATCAAAATTTTTCCGTGGGAGGACCCCCGGATCCCCTTTCCTTTTTTGGGAAAAATGTTGACCCCCCATCCCCTAGGTTTTTCCAGAATTTGCATGATTCATATTACCATTCATCTTATAAGTGGGCCCCCCACTTTAAAAAACGTTCCGCCGGCCCTGTATATATATATATGTATATA